ATTCACTGTCCTAACAATATAAGCAAACTGAATTATTATGTCAATGTGAAGCAGAACAATCTCTTAATAATTATAAAAAATAGTAATAGTAACAGGACAATTGTATTTGTGGTACATAATGCCCTCGAGTATGGCCCTATACACTTACAATAACCATGACCTTCCCATTGTTCTCATGAGTTTGGAATTGGTTCAAGGTCAAGATGAAATATATGGAGATAAGTATTCAAGCTCAAAAGTCCATTAAACAATACAAAATAGGAGCAGAGCAAACACGGACCTCTAAACATCAGAGGTGGGATCAGGTGCCATGGAGGAGTGAGCATCTCCTGCCGACCGGTCACACCCGCCGTGTGCTCCTTGTCATGATCGGGAAATAACAGAAAAATCCGTCGACAATTCAGTGTGTAAATAATGGCCTAACAATTAGTATGAAAAACATCAGTCAGCATTTGACTCAATGATAAATTGTATTTGCTGACAAGGTCATTGTATCGACCATAGAACTTACGAAATGATGACTTTAAACGAGACAGCTGATATTCTTGTTTCTTCAACTTGTTTGTCAATAAATTATCTCGTTTAGAAATTGTACATACGTAGAGCATGCTCTTGCGTATCGAATCAACTGAGAGATATATACCCCGTGCGCAGGTGATGAAGGTATATTGCTGCATAAGTAAGGGAAGTTGACGATTGAAAAGTTAAAGTCATCACGTTTATCATAAAGCTTGGTTGTTAGATTACCATTAACGTCTTTTTCAAGTAAAATATCCAAATATGAAACAGATGTGTCAGACTCTGTGGTATCTTTTATCTCAAGCTCACCAGGATATATCGTATCGACATAAGAATGGAAATAGCCATTGTTAGTTGACAATGCATCGTCGATATATCTAAATGTCGAATTGAAGGCCACAGCAAGTGTTTTCTTCTTTTCACGTACAAGATTTTGGACAAATTCTGCTTCATATGAATACAAAAGAGGTCTGCTAATAACGGGACGCAATTGGTACCCATGGAAATTCCAATAGATTGTTGGAAGACCTGGTCTCCAAAAACCACATAGATATTGTCAATCAGAAACTCAAGCATGTTTTTAATGTCAACTTCAGAGTACTTGTGTGTACAATCAGAATGTTTTTTAAACAAAATAATTTTGCAAATGACCATTGACAAGGTAAGTATATTTACGGGTTCCATTTTTATTGAAAAAGCAACTATCAATTATATCAAAAATCCTGGACTTTAATTTATCATTGGGAATGGTTGTGTATAAAGTAGAAAAGTCGTAAGTTTTTAAGCTGTTGATTTTGGTAAATTCTTGTGATTTCAAATTTTTTAAAAGTTCCTTGGAATTTTTAAATATCCACATCTGATTTACACCACTTCTCGAATATATTGTTGCACAGTACTCTTGAAGTTTCTCCTTCACCACTGTTAATATCTTAGTGAGGATTAAAGAAAGAGGCTTAGTTGAACATTTGCTGGAACCCGCTATGTATCTTTGTTTGTAAGGATTTTTATGAAGTTTCGGAATCCAATATAAATATGGTAATTCAAATTCATTTTGGTTGTTTGGAATATTAAAAATATTCAAAATTGACATATGATTTTGAAGAATTTCTTCCTTAGAAAGGAAACTACGAGTATAAGTTGGATTACCACTTGTAGAATTAAATTAACCCTCAGTTCATATTTCACAATCTTACAAAATATGAAGTCTTTATGATGTTTCCTTCATAAGTTATATAAGTTCTGCAAAGCCTTTATGAAGGAGAAGGCTTATTTGGAAAAATACTATTAAAGACAGGTAGCCAAAACTTCTATCTTGAAGATAAAGTTAAAGCTCCTAGCAAATTTGAAAGACAACATATCCTGCATATAAGAATTCTACACTTCTCTTTTGATCAAATGATTCTGATTGAGTCCTTTGCTTTTTTTCTTTTTTTTTGGGGGGGGGGGGAGAAAAAAAGAAATAAATTTCTGCGAGGAAGCCTTTATTTCTTGTAAATTATAAGCTTCATATTTTACACAATGACCTTGTTTCGGGATTATAACAAAACTCCTACATTATGTAAAGTCAAGGCTACCTTTGTATGAGCATAATCTTCTCCAATTCATGAAATACAAAATCTTTCACACGAATCTGGATTTTTTCATCACCAATTATTCTCAAATTGATCTTTACTTTATCCCAATATGATTTAACAAACCTTAAGTTTCACTTTATCATTACTGATAAGCTTGCATGATTATAGGGTAAATGGTACCCACCCTTCAGGACCACGCCCTCCAGCGCAATAGAACTTAGCAACAGTCAACATTGCTTGACCACGTATGATTTTCAACAAAAAAAAAAATGAATGTGCAGAATCTATATATGCTCGCTTCACCTTTATTTGCATTTGTATAAAAACATTCGTTTAACAACTTAAACAGAGATATGCTTTGCATATCTTGTCGATATATTTCACAATGTAAATTTATTTGCGGGTTAAATATACATGTACATACATGTATATTCTTTAAAATAAAAAAATGTATATATTAAGCACTTAAAAATAATGGGGGGTTTTGGGTTGCTGACAAGAAAATTTAAAATAAGCACAAGTTAATTATAACTGAATTTGGGCGTAAAGCGTTCATTTGTATTTAGCACTTTAACAATTAAGGAGAGGGAGTCTCTTGTTTGTTTAATCGGTCTGAGAAACAAGGCATTCTGTAGAATCCTTCATAAGTAAATATTAAAAGTGAAAACGTAACTCTCAACTTTTTTCAAACCTACTTTTTCCCTAAAATTATTGATTTGGGTGAGATTTTAACATTTTTTAACTACATGGATGTTTTGCAACATTCTGAAATACGTTTACTGATAGGATCTTTGAAAATTACCACTTATAAGGATATGCTTGGTCTTCTCAGTGTATCGGATTATGTTCAAAGATCAATGTTAAGGGAGGGGGGGGGGGGGCAGGTGTGTTTGTCGATCTTTAGACTGTGAGCAAGGTGAGATGCATGCATGTGTCAACCAAAGTTGATGATGTCGGTATTTACAAGTGCATGCATGTATAATTTTATTGTTTTTCTTTGCCTATCTAAATACATTGATTAAAATTGAAATAAAAGAAATCAATGATCACTGGAATTAAATTAGCATTTGTTCTTTTCTTCCTTCCTTTCTTTCTTTTTTTGTGAATTGGCCATGCATCGGACACATACCTTGGATCGGACAACTTCAACAAATTAGAACATAAAGTAAAATAAAAAGAATTTTACTTTTGTTTCCATGAGTGTAATTTTCGAAGACAGACTAGTGTAGTCCATACAGAGTATGATTTTATCGAACTTCAAGGAAATCTCTCTTTCTGAAGTTTTTTTTTTTTTACTTCTGTTAAGTTTCAGTGTTAATGAAATATTATAAAAGGTTAGTTTTAGGTTATATTTTTGATTTTTAATTGTATTACTTTGTAAATTGTATTACTTTGTAAATGTGTCTTTAAAAATATTTTATAAAAAGTCGAAGAACTCAAGTACCTATTGAAAGACGACAAGAAATCTCTCTGTTTTGTATCAATAGGTCATAGAGACGAAAAGGGTTACATTATCATGTGTATATTACAATATATATTAGATTATAAATATAAATAGGGGGAAGGGGTTAGTTTATTTTTATAGCAATGCAAGAAGGATAACTCTAATTTTCAGAACGACAGCAAAAGCTGAACTGTAGCGACTCTTGCGAGACGTGGTCTAACCAGAGACATATCTCTGGTCTAACAGAATGAGAAAAGGATAAATAGAAGAAAACTGATGAATGTCATTCAACCACAGTAAGGCAAGTTTCCTACCTCGGTAGAAAAGTCTGAAAATTCATCATTATATAGAAACTCTTTGTTGCAAATTTACTTTCAGTTTGTCACTTTGTATATTTTTTATAATGATTTGCCTCACAAGCCTGACAAGGTCATTAAGAAATAAACAACAATGTTAAAAAGTTCTCTGGGAAATGAACTTGGTTGGTCACGTGATCAAATCCTGTGAAGCCCGAAGGGCTTCTCAGAAGATTTGATCACGTACCAACCAAGTTCATTTCCCAGTGAACTTTTTAACATTGTTGTTTATTACTTTTATTTACATTTGAGACGAATATTCTGAGTAGAACTGCATTTATTACACAAACGGCCCGCCGTATTGCTATGTTGTGACGCGCAATGACCTAGAAGCTGTTTGTTCTTCAGAGTTCGCCTCGCTCCAACATTTGAATATTTACATGGATGTTAAGCCGTCCAGTTCAGGAAATAACTGTTCGTAATGAAAAAACAATGATCGCTACTGAGAATAATCTTACTATTATTGTACTAGTTCTTTATATATGAAGTCAAAAGCGGTGCTATATCGTCTTCAGTTTACATACCTTCAAAGGAATTTCGGGTTAAAAAGGTAAGCGTGATTTTAGGCTAATTAGAAACATTCTTCACACCAAAGAAAGATCTAACAATCATTTGTTGAACGAAAAAAAAATATATGTTTCAATAATTTTATCTTTTTCATCGCTTTGACGGTTCAGAAGTTCCGAAACCAGTGTCACTGTGACAGAAATATGTAGACAAGATATCGTCTCGCTGTGTGATTCGGTCACGCCATGACCTCTGACCCCCTAATAAGTTCATACAGAATTGAACATATTTTCTCTTCTATAGGTTCATCTAAGAAAAATATTTGCAAATGTAAATAATTCCAATTGAATATTAAAACTATGGATATGCAATAAAGTTATCAAGTTAACTGTGATGTATTAAAAACAAAAGAAATACAAATTTTTGTGATGATTTTTAAGTAACATGTAATAACTTTTGTACAAGGAAGTAATGCATACGTATATTACATGTATATGAGTATTCATTCATTATTCAAACCAAAAGTCATTATCATAACTCATTAAATGGGCGTTAAACTTCCATGTCAAAACAATCCTTTTTATTTATAGAACTAAGTAGTCATGGACCCTCACCACAGTGCCCAGGATGTGATCAGATGTGACCTCTGTGAGACAGCTATAGTACAGATGTACTGTGATTTCTGTCATGTCAACCTTTGTAAACCCTGTATTGGAGAACACATTGCTGATGAATATGACAAACATAAAATTGTCCCATTCGATCAAAGAAAGTCAACCTTGATCTATCCAAAGTGTGCAACACATATGCATCCATCAAAAACCTGTGAACTACAATGCAAGGAATGTGATATTCCCGTTTGCTCTTCATGTTTTACATCAAATCAACATCAAGGACACAGTTTTTCAGACCTTTCAGAAATTTACAACTCAAAGAAAAATGACATTGCAAAAGATACAGAGGAATTACAAAACATTATCTCTCCAGCATATAAAGAAATCACAAAAGACATAGAAACACAGATAGCTAACTTGGATAGAGAATATGAGAAACTTACAACAGCAGTGACAGAACATGGAGAACAATGGCACAGAGAAATTGACAACGTGATCAATGCCATGAAAAAAGAAATTGATAATTTTAAAATAAAACACCTTGACATTCTGAAGAAACATGCAGAGGAAGTTAAACAAATAGAGTCCCTTATTGAACAAATTTTGCTGAGCCTGAAGAAAATTGAAGAATCAAATGAAGTGTCTATGACCATGGAATATAGCTCCAGAAGTACAGAATTCAGCAAACTTCCTCCCAAAGTTAAGGTATCACTGCCCACTTTAAATCCTAAACCAGTAGATAGAGAACAGCTTTACAATTTGTTTGGATCTTTTGAACCATTATCTATGACAACAGAAGAAAATGGCTACAAACTGAAGAAACCAAAGACATCAACCAGAGAATTTCTGGAAGAACCAGAACTTATCACTTCTATAAACACTGGGTATGAAACACTTCGCAGTGTTACCTGTCTCAGTGAAGAAGAAATCTGGACATGTGCACTAGTCAGTGATATGAAATGCTTCAATATTCAAGGCTCACTTATCAAAGCAATCAAACCAAAATCAGGGGGATTACCAAGTGATATAGCAGTGACAAGTGATGGGGATCTAATGTACTCTGGTGGGATAACAGGGACTGTGAATAAAGTAAAGAATGGACAGACAGAGGACGTTATCAGATTACAGGGCTGGAGACCTATCAATCTCTGCATCACCTCTTCTGGTGATCTCCTGGTTACCATGTACAGTGATGATGAAACACAATCCAAAGTTGTACAATACTCAGGCTCCACAGAGAAACAAACAATCCAGTTTGATGATGAGGGTAAACCTCTGTATTCAGGAAATAACAGAATTAAATACATCAGTGAGAACAGAAACCTGGATATCTGTGTGGCTGACAGTGGAGCTGGTGCTGTAGTTGTGGTCAACCAGACAGGAAAACTCCGATTTAGATACACTGGTCATCCTTCTACTACAAAGATTAACCCATTTAAACCCCGCGGCATCACAACAGACAGGCAGAGTCAGATCCTGACAGCAGACAGTGATAACCACTGTATCCACATCCTAGACCAGGATGGACAGTTCCTCTGTTATATAAATAACTGTGATCTGAAGTATCCATACGGTGTATGCGTGAATAAAAATTATTTGTTGGTTGCTGAGTGGGGAGGAAAGGTTAAGAAAATTAAATACCTTGAATAGAGATATATGTTTGTGTATATTTTTTTGTAGATTGAAACTACTTTTTAACTCACCTGAGCTATACAATATACTGATGTAGGTGATTTCTATGTTTGACAGAAGAGTCACCATGGACATAAAACTCTGAATTACTGTCTTTCAAATTAATGATACTCTCCCTTCAGATTTTGGCCTATATATATTTATTCAAGATCCATGACTTCTTAGTATTTTTTTTATTGCGCCTCTTTTGTAAAAAAAAAAAATTGAAATGTTTCATTTTGTTAGGTATAAACATGATAAATTTGTTCATATTTTTATTTTTTCAAGTGAGTAGAATATATCAATACCATGACATAATATTCTCAGAGGAATTTATAATTTCAATGAAACGGTGCTCTTATACAGGGACAGAATACTGAACCTAATGATTTTATCATCTGCAGGTTTTCACTTTAAAACTTAATGGAATTAATTGCCTCTTTTTATATATATTTTATGATGTGTAATACATAAATGTATAAGGCAGCAGGCATATCATATATATTCCTTCTCCTTTATAAATAAATACAATAACAGAATACTAGGCTCTTGTTTTGCAACATATGAGGCTATGTAAATGTATTTACTGGTCCAAACTTGTTGCTATCTTCATTCATCCTTGCATTATCCCCCTCCACCCAGCAGTGACCTTGAGGGACCTGTATTGTCCCTTTTTGTGTTATTTACTATCCTGACAATTTAAACAAATCAGATTATTATTTTTATGTTAAATAAACCCATCTCAAAATAACACATGCATGGTAATGGTAACATGATAATTGTGTTTGTGAAACATGAACGTCCCTGAATATGGCTATATACACTTACAATATAACCATGGCCTTGCCGCCGTTGTTCTCATGATTTTTGGTTCAAGGTCAAGAGTAACACTCAAATCATATGTTACAATCTCAAAAAATGTGAAGTCTTTCTGATGTTTTCATTGTAAGTTATACACAAGCTTAAAGTCGAAAATCTAAGAGACAAGTAGATAAAACTTCTATCTTGCGAAAATCAAAAGCTCTTAGCACACTCAATAGCAAGTTGGAAAGACAGTGTATCATATCCTGCACATGAGAACTTCACACTTCTCTTTGATCAAATGATTCTGGTTGAGTCCATTGCTTTGGTTTGGCAGAAAAAAATACAATTTCTGCAAAATCTTTAATTATCACCTTCATATTTTACAACATGACCTTGGTTGAGGGTTAGAACAAAACTCCTAGTCAAGGCTATCTTTGTATTGAGAATAATCTGCCAGTGCAACATATTATTTGTTACGTTAAATATATATATTGCAATGTCATTAAGAATAGAGAGATGGGAAAATACATTGTGATATCACACACAAAAATAATCCCGAGGCATTATAAGTGTGGTCCGATATGGCTCTGTAAATGCCTAGGTTCTCTCTATACATTTATTGATAAGTATATCAAAATATATAATATATAACAAAAGTACATTGTGTTATCAAAGATTGAAAACATACATGTAGTTGGGAGTTATATGTTACTTTAACACTTTCATAGAAAGTTGGTCAAGAGAAATAAGAGCAATACAGTGTCTGGTTACAGGATGAAGCATATAATCTCAGTCAAACATTTGTATTAGGGCTGATAAACTACTACAGTCGCAGTACAGTTAGGTGCCAAATGGAAATACCGGCGAATTTTTTAGACAGAAAATACATTCTTTACAAGGATGGGCGATTCTTTTCAGGCCTTTACTATTATCGGACAAATGTAATGTGGCTGAAAACTACATGTTGAAGACGTTTAGATTTCTTATTTAGATTTGTCACGTAATGTGGCAGTCAAGTGATTTTAGCAAATATACCTGCAGTATTGTGGTCATCTATAAATTCCAATATTGCAAGGGCATAACCAAGTTAAAAATGTAAGTTTAATTTATAATTATTTTCAACACTCTTTGTAGTTTGTGAAAAGTGCTGCGAACCTATATAGATTCTACTATATAATTGCTAAAATTACATTTGTTAGACCGTATGTTGAATATTTTGCTGGTCAAGTACATTAAATATAGATATAATTAATTCATTTGCAAGATTTCATCAGGTTCGCAGGACTTTTCAAATATCTTCATACCTCTTAAGTTTATGTGTAAAAGCTTGTCGTAATTCGTTGAGGGTATGCCCTTGCAATAGATCGATTTATTACGACCCTTCTGTTACGGTCCTTCAATGAATCTGCATACAAATGTACGGCAGTTTCACTTGTCTAAGGAATGTACGGGAAGTATATGAATAAAATCATAAAATAGACATCGCATCCAAGTTAATGGCCTCTTATATATCCGCAAATAATATTTTATTTAATTACAAAACACATTTTTCATTGTATGAAATACAACTTGATCCGCCTCTCACTGCATACAAACTGCGTCAAATTTTATGATATGACGTCACATTGACAAGTGCATTTGGATCAGTGAATTGTTTATATATTGCTGTGTGGGATTTATCCAACGACAAAAATGCATGCAATAGTAAGTATTGATGTAGTTTCAAGCTATCCAACAGTTTAAAATAGCGTATCATTTCATTTTGTGGTAATTTGAAGAACATGTATTTTTGTGTGATGTCATAGTAAGCATTTCCCGTAAAAATTAGGCCCCGCCTCCTTATTGCAGCCTTAACTGTGCTGCGGTTTGTAGATGTAAAATATATAATGTATGTGTTCAATTCTTCATGACGAAATCAGAATTTCTGTTCAATCAGCGGTTAGAATATTAGCCGGGTTTCTTGGATTGCCATTGTATATCTTAAGTGAACTTAAGTATGCTGTGGCAAATTTCCGTGGAAAATCTGTGACAATGTGCACAGCGTAAATTAATCCCACATGGAAAAAGATGTCTAGTAGGAGTGTAAAGATACGGCTTAAGTATATCGTAGTATATCATGATACACTGTGACTGTATCACGATATTTCACCTTTCATATATGTGATAAGCCGCAAGAAAACCAGGTTTATTGATTTTTTTTTTCATGAAATTGATATTTTTGCATTTTCAGGTAGCTATAGTATGAAAAGTAAAAATACAAAATGTTTGAGTCAATCTCCTTTTAATTCACAAGTTATGATGATGCAAAAATGATATATTTTATTTACAAAATCTCAAAATTTAGCCATAATGGGAATTCGGCTAATTTTATAAGAAAATTAAAAAATGAAGACATAAATAGTAATTTGTCGTGGCGACTCACATATATATGTTTTATTCAATTTGTGTGTCTATGTTCTAAAATGAGAAATGCTCTGTCATAATGTGAAAGGATAAAAGGTGATGATTATTTCTCAGTTCACAAATACATTATATAACATTTAATAAGCTCTGAACACAATAAACACATAATTAAAAATAAGAAAAAAAACCCCACCTTTATTAGGTTAACTTAAAAAGAAATAGCATAAATTGCTTAAAATGTTATATATTGTGATACACAGGTATATGTTTTTATACCTTGATAAAGTACAGCTTTATGTGAATTACCAGTATATATCATTACACCACTTGTCTACATTTTATCATTCAAAAATGTATGTATAATGGATTTTTATATAACTTTACTTCATAAATGTGATGATTGTGTTGTTTTATTCACTTGCACAACTAACTTAGGGAATTCATCTGGCTTGACTGCTTGTGTGTTTCCGAAAAAAAGCATTCCCTGTTGTTATATTTCAGTGCAAATGCCTCAAAGTTATCCCACAAGAATAAGCTTATTGAGCTAGGATTAGTATATCACAATCAATACATGAATTCCTGTTTTTGTCTGTTGTGTGGAGTATGAGATATCAAAATGGAGTAGGACAGTAGGATATCAGACACAATATGTACAAAACTGCTGTTTACTGATAGTAACTTTAAAGTAAGTTTTACACACTAGGAATACGATATATGTAATCTTGATTGTGCAATAATTGATTTTTTTTTGTTTGCAAACATTTAAAAGTGTATGTTGTGTTCCAGTCTTCTAAGTTTTATTTCTGGAGATATTGGTAAATGTATAAAAGGAAGATTTATTTATTAATACAGAGAGGAGTAAACCTCAAGTATTACAATGTACACAGTATACCGAAGTTTTCTTAATATGTAGTACTTTATCATTAATTTTAAATCAAACATGTTGATTGAATCTTGGCTGTACAATTTTGAATGTAAATTTTACATATAATTATTACCAGTATGCATCATACTCTGAAGTGTTTTATTGAGAAATGTTTCAATAAAATTTATTAGGTAAGCATTTTTAAATGTGTTTAATTCATTACAAATTTTTCTTTTATCATTTCTTACCTTTAAAGTAAATAGGTCCAATGAGAAAGAATATGTCAGCATTTTGTTCATTGTCATCTGAATTTTACCACTTGACCACACTTTCTTCAAAGTACCCTGTATGTTTAATAAATTGAACTTGGAAAAGATGCGAGGTTACAATCCATCCATTGTTTGGCAAAGAACTAGTACCACTACCTTAGAAAGCTGCTCATATTGATGTAGAATGCTAAATTTAGGCTCTGCTGTTTAAGGATGAGAAGAATTTATCCCTTCTCTGCTTGCCTGTGAACAACATTCAAAATGCTACTCCTACTACAATTTTTTACTGCTTTTAGTAACCAGGCACACTAGTACACAACATCAACATATGCATAATTACCTTTCTTAGCTCACCTGAGCTGAAATCTTAAGTGAGTTTTTCAATCACATATTGTTTGGCCTCTGTGTGACCGTTATCTTTTCACATACATGTATTTGATTTCTCCTGAACCAATTGGCCAAATTCAACCAAACTTTGCACACAGTATTCTTTGGTAAAGGTGATTCAAATGAAGGGCCACATCCTTTTTCAAGGGGAGATAATAAAGAATTTCTGAAAATTTGGTGGTATCATTAAAAACTCTTCGTAAGAATTAACACAATCAAGAGATGAAAACATGTGAAATAGTCTTTACATAGATTA